TCGAGTCATGGTGTCAAAATGAACAGGCGGACTGCCGCTGCTGCAAACACAAAGCAATGCTTTAGTGAATTTACAGAAGATGCAATAAATGTTATAGTTGTTAAACTCATCACCATCATTGTGGGAGTTCTTCAGTGTAGATGATGTCTGTTTCATATTTTGAGGGGTTTTGTTCAAATTAAATTTTAAATGCTACAATTATTTCCCATAGAAAAGCTGTGCAAAACTAAAAACTATTTAATATAAAAAAGGCAATCTAAACATATTTATATGCCTTTTGCTTAACTTTACAGGCCAGCCACAACAATTATGAAGATAACTTTAATGGAATGTAAGCTGCCGAAAAAGAAAAATGTTGAAATTTCTGGGCTACTGTACAATACATAAATATCCAACAAAAATAATAACCGTCCACTAGTGACCAACCAACCACATGAACCAATTTTGGATATTTTGAACATAAAAGAAATGAGGGATTGAAGCATCAATGTTCTGTTGAGCTACTGCAGCTTATTATACTGAAACAGTAAATGTGAATCTCTGGCAAATGATTAGCATTTCATAGGTTGATAAATATAGCTAAAATGGAAAAAGTGGAATTCAGAAAAATAGGAAAAGTAGAATTTGGGAAAAATAAAAAATAAAATGGAATAAGGAAAACAACACAACAATTTCACAGGGCCATAGTTCCAAAGTGCTGCTTCACTGCAGAGAACAAACGGCACACTTCCTACTCCCTGCAGCTCTTCCCATTCTCGATCATTCAAAGAAAAGGCTTCTGAAGCTCCAGGTGGCTGTATTGCATTGATCAATCAAAGGAATAAATCTTGATCAGGGTTTGCTCAGAATTCTGCAGAAGGAACCATGTAGTTACAGGTTCCCCAAGACAACCGATGGCAGCTGCCACCACACCGAGGGAGAAAGAAGCATGGCAGCCGACGATCGTTTGAAAGCTAACATTTGCTAACCAAAAAACACACTGTTAGCCACAACAGCTAACGGCTCTCAACACAAACACAACCTAAGTTCCCAAGAGACAAAGTTCATCTAGTAACTAGTAACGTGTTGACAACCCAGTAAGAAGACTTTGCTAGCAGACAGTCAACACCACAGTTAAAGAAAGCCTTTTTTACACACTTAAAAAAGGCAATTTGTCAAGAAACCTGCATGGAGCCCTCAGTTTTTTCTTTCTGTGACGGCTCAGAAGGTGGTTTAAGTCCGTTAGAGCAGAATACCTGTACGTGTTGCTGGGATCGCAGTATTCCTTTTCAATTGCCTCGTTATCAGGCAAGGCGTTCCACTGGCCTCCTTCCTGGACCTGCCATCTGTACGGCATCTTGTCGTGAGCTTTAAAACATTTGTCTGAAAAAAAAAAATAAATTAAATGACAAATGTTTTAAAGAGCCAAAACAAGGAAAGCAAACAGGTACTATGGGGAATGACAGGCAATCACGTACCATCATGCTTACAGTGGCCTTTAATGAAGTACATGCATATCTCGGTTTTATCTAGTAAAAATGAAAAAAAAAACAACAAAACAACAAAATTAGGTTTTTTTTTCACTTCTTTTGATGAATTATTTCTTCCCATTCTATAGTTTGTGTATTTACCTTTGACATTTTTGTTTTTTTGTCTGCCTTTCTGCTCATCTGCTCCATTTCCCTCTTGGCCACCAGCTGCACCAATCGGGTTTCCCCTCATAGCCCTACCAGATCCCCCCCTCATATGGAGCCTCAACGCTTCTCTATTTGCGTAAGCGGACTTCAAGCACTGAATGATGCTGTCGGGCACCATCTTATTATGCAGGCTTTTTATTGGCTGAGGAGCAAAAAAGTCGTGGGCTCTGGAGCAGCTGCAGCTTTGGGTCAGGTACTTCTGGCAGATGTGGAGTCTTTCACAATCTACGCCGCTCGTACACCGGCCAAATACTCCATCACCGTTATTGTAATCAAAACATATCTGAGGAAAACAGAGGAAAATGTTCAATTACAGTGCAATCAAGTGTAATCGTTGTTGTTTCTGATGTGAAACTTCATGAGGTGAGAATGTAAAAACGTTGGTGGACTTACAGCAGGCAGCATGGAGTTGTCGCTCTGCAGCAGCAGCGTACACAGCTCCGCCCTGCTCAGGCCCTCCAGCTCATGTTCTATCAGCAGCCTTTGGTTGTAGTCAGAGTTCAGAACATGGGGGAAACTGCAGCCTCTTCTGTTGGGGAAGAATACACAGTTTTTCATGACAGATTAAACTCTTGTTCAGAAAGCAGAGCTGGGCCAAGAAAAAAAAAAGAAAGAGTAAGATCCTTTTAGAATTTTTAAAATATTTTTTTGTAAATGTCGCATCATTCCCAGTGGGATGCAGGGTTATAAATATGATGAGTCCTTGTGACACACTTGTCACATTGGCTTCAAACATTAGTTGTTGGGATATTACCTAACACCAATAATCTGTTGGTACATATATTTACTTTGCTCAGTTTTCTCATATTTCATTTTTGTATTTACAGAAATACCATACCGTTTCTTTTTACTAAAGGTCCGCCGATTGCAGTTTTCTGGTTGATCGTGGATTTCCGATCTTTAAAAAGCCCGACCTGCCGATTCCAGTTTTGGCCGATGTTGAATTTTTAGTCTGAAATATTTGTTAATATAGCAATAAAATAGTTGCGTTGACAACTGTGGGCTGACTAACTTCAAACAAGCAGATATGACCTTGTGGGTGGGTCAGTCATTATTCCACTATGTTTTCAGTTCCTGTTTTTTACAGGTAGAGCATTTTGGCTGAATAAAAACGGTTTAGAAGTAAATTCAGAGGTTAAGACATATTCCTGCCAATGAAACGGTGAACCATTTATAAGATTTGCGTTTTGATAGCAATAAAACCCATGTTGAATTTTGTCATAAGACTTGTTTTGAGCCCTAACTTTATAAATGTTTAATGTAAACTGAAGATTTTAGAATTTAACAGCTTCATTGTTTTTCATCTACTTACCCTACATAATATTGGTAACATTAAAAAAATATAGCTCCTTATACAAAAACATGCTAACTCTAAAAAGGTAAAACACAATGTGATTTTGTCAACAGTACAAGTTATGCGTCATTTATCGGACTTATCAGAAGCTAGCAAAGAAAAACAAAAAACGAATGATTAGTTGATTTTTGTTTCAACGGTCATTCAAATACAAGTAGATTCGTGTATTTTGCTGGTGTAAGTCAGAATATTACAAAAATTCACCACTTTGTCATTTTGTCTTTTCTATTAAAGTTGATATTTAAATAAATATAAAAAGAAATTGAAGCTAATATAAATTGCTACAACTAATGTCTATGATGTTTAGTATGCACAAAATATATATCATCAGGATATGATTAGATGTATTTTTGTGATTAGAACCAAAACATACATGGAATTTATGCCCAATTCTAATTTTTGGGCTTATATTAGGAGCTAGCTTTGTTTTAGAAAAACACCATGGAATAACGTCACTTTGCTACTTTAAATTTAAATCACTGTCAAAAACTTTTCAAGCCTGTATTTCGCAATTCTAGTTGAATTCTGAGATCATAATGCCATGTCTCTTATGTCCGTTTATTTATTTATTAGCTTACTGAAAATCCGAACGTCACAAGATCAAGGTATCTTTCTCCGCAGCACGTGAACGCACCATGGGTAATCAACGAAGACAACAAATAAAAAGGTAGCGTTTAGTTAGCTGTGACAGCTTCCGTTTTAACTGAATATGGTTATAGCTTGAAAAAAAAAAAGGGTTTACAACCATAAGGCCACCAAGTTATTTACCTTTGTAGGAAGTGACAGGAGCCGGTGTAGAGAAAGTTTTTACACAGGTGTAGCCCCCCGCAGGACCCCGGGCAGCCTTTCTTCCTGCACAGTCTCAGGCTGGTCCTGGCCACCACTCTCTGTTGCCCATTGCTGGAACACAAGGCAAACTTGCTTTGGTTGGAAATCACCTCGCTCGTGGACTGCCCTGGGAAAAGGTTGAACATCAACTCTTCAGCATCAACTGCTCCTTGATTAGCGCAGATGAACTTTAATATTTTAGCCTCCATGGCTCCTCGGCGGCTCTTCAAATGGCCTTTTCGCCCAGACTGCAGCTGTGGTTGCGGGGTGACTCTGGTAGGAGAGTATAAAATGCTCTGTGTTGTTTGGAAACCGAAACTGAACTATATTTAGACAGGCGTCACTCCGTAATGCTGCAGTTTGCCACTTGAGGGCGTTATTGTGCAGAATGATTTTTTACAGGGATTCAAGGTTTCGAGAAAGCGATCCTGTGCTTCAAAAGAGAATTATGTGGACAAGATATAGGGATAGCAAAAAATATAAAGTGGAAATTATCCAGTCACAGAGTATCATATTGTTTCATACTTCTTTAAGCTAAAAAGGAGAAAATGATGTTTATAACTCCCTCCCTCTATTGTTTAGAAAAAAACTCAGACGTTGTGAGGAATGTTTTTAAAAGGAGCTTTTCATTGTGTCTGTATCCAATAATTGTGAACCAATAATTGTTGATTTTAGTTATTCTCTTTGAGGCCAAATATTTTTCTTCATTTTTGATATTGCCTGTCATGAATGCTGGCCAGACTAAGAGATTTTTGTCATGACAAGAATAGTTAGTGAAATAAAGATACAATATTAGCAGTCGTAGAATTACAACAAAGTCGTCTTTATAAGAAACATTGATAGTTATCAAGATCTGACGAAACCAGCTCGTGATGTTTGTGATTGTCTCTTCGAAATAGTCATTTCCACACTGACGTAGTACTGCTGCTCATCGTAAGGAATATATAGCTTTTCCTTCAACTTCAAAACTAATGGCTACCTTGTGTTGGTGTGTCACATAAAAAAACCCAATAAAATACACAGACGTTTGTTATGATGTGAAAACACTCCAGAGGTGTTTATACCTGTACATTCACCCACCAGTTCTGGTTCCTCTCATCCTCAAGTTTGTTGGTGAATATGGAAACTCAGAAGCAAGCAGCTGGTAATAGAAAACTTTATTTTGATAAGACACAATCACATAATTACAATTTTGATTTTTAAGAGGAACAGATGAATTTACTGGCTTATGAAAGGCAACTTTGGCTTAACATTTATTGTTCCGCTTTCATATAATTTTATTAAAATTAACAAAATGAATATGAAAAAAAAATACACCAACAACAATTAGAAGATTTAGAGAGCCAATAAAAACTTCACAGCTAAGAAATAGCAAAAAATAAGTTTGGAATAAAAACAGATGCTGTAAGTTAACAGGGCTCTTAACGGAGCACTTTTTACTTGGGGGGCTGGAGGGGCATGGGGAGAGGGGAGTTCTCAATGTGGAAAAAGAATCTCCGCAATTGGGTATATTGAATGATTGAATGAGTGCAATAATGTGTCATGCCACAGGAGGCGCTGATGAGCACACCGATTCCTTTTTCGGAGCTCGGTCTCATTTCAATAACCTAATCAACATCTGATGGAATGTATTGTTCAACATGTAGAGAAACTGCTCTAGGGAAGAACTTTAAAGTTTACATTTTTGTTTTGTTTTGCAGTTTATTCACATCTAAAAGCATTTAAATGATTAGTGTAACAGCAACACAACATTTGGCAGAAACACCTGAGCGATTCTCTCCTTTCATTTTAAACTTATCGTGCCAAATCATTAATTTGTCCCACCTTGAATCAGACAAATTAATGTTTGGTATTTTTTAAAAAGACACGTGGTTTTATCACCCTCTAGTGGCTGCTAGAAGATAATTTAAAAGAAAAATAAAAGTTTTTATCGGTTAATAAGCAGTGGCTGATGACAGATCAATGTAGTGTCTATCAATACTACACACCACACCAACCATTGATATTGTTAATGTGATGCGGCTATCTGCTCCCTGAATACATGACGTACAGTATTAAACGTGCTAAGTTAGGGCGGTTAGAAACCACCTTGTTGTTCCTGGTGTGTCTCAGTCAAATCAGTGCAAGAATTCTGGACTTGTCTGATCTGATTCATTAGGTGCTCCTCCTACATTAAAGTAGTAAGAGTCCATTTTCTCAAAGAAAAATCGTTGGTGGTTGTCGTTCACGCGGGAACGAGCTTTGAGAATGCTCTGCTTTCGTTCTTGTTTCAGCTTTTTGTCCACAAAGGAATGGATTATTAACATCTAGAAACACCCATCAGAATGAAAAACATTGTGAAATGCCACTCTTGTGTTTATTATGTAGCAATCCAAAACGAAATGTTTTCAAATCGATTGGAATAGCTCCATGGCGCAAACTTTATGCGCTTGGTCCATGTCGCCTTCTGGTGTTTACTGCTACATTTGTTTTATCGCAGCAGCATTACAGCGCCATATACAACTTTGGTATTGGTAATGTAGCCTATTTGTAGTGTTTTTGTCCGGATAAAAATGTGTAAAAAAACAAAAAAAGATGTCTTCATGAGCATCTTTTTAGAAACCTCAAATAGCTTTGGAGTCGACTGGATGAGATTCCATCGCTATATCACTCTTGAATTCACTGTTTAGCCTTAAATAGCCCACTGGAGTTGAAATGCAAACACCAGTGGTGACAGTTAGTTGTGTTTTTGTGGGACTGATGGATGGATGCCCTTCACGTACAAATTATATGTCACAATTAAAGACCGGCAGTCCAGCCTTCTGTGGCTGTGAGCGTCAGCTAACAGAATCATTTAAATACGACTTACTGCCTAAAGAAAACACTGCCGTTTCTCTGAGTTGGCCTGTCAATGAAAACTAAAGCACTAAATGAAAAATCACTGCAATAGGTCATTTAAAATGAAAACATTTCAAATATTTCCATTAAACTGTCAACTTTGCCTTTGCATGCATTTCTATTTATCCTTCTGTTTTTGGATTATTTCCTACATATGGGTGGAATATTTTTTAAGCTTATCAAAAACTATCATTTCCCCTTCTGATCTGACATATTTTTTTGTGCTAATGTTTAAATAAAAAAACTTCACTGAACTCTCTTATCCGTTACGACCTTTTTCCATTTCATAGCTGTGCTTAGGCTATAACACAGGAATCATTTTTTTTGGTCGGCTTTGAGGGGGACGGTGGGGAAGACAAGGTGCGTTGGGAATCATATCTGGTTTGGTACAGTGAAGAGGTTGTACTGGGTTGATACGATGATGAACGGGTTAGCGTCGCACTGGGTTGATATGATGAAGAGATGGTTTGATTCGACGCGGTAGTGGGTTGATATGACGATGAACTGGTTTGTTTTGACACTGTGGTGGGTTGATATGATGAAGAGATGGTTTGATTCGACGCCATAGTGGATGGATACAATGATGAACTGGTTAGATATGATGCCGCACCGTATTGATGTGATGAAGAGATGGTTTGTTTCGATGCCGTATTGGGTTGATACACCGGCGGCTTAGGGGCAATAACTGGTTTTGGTTGCTGTGCTGATGTACTACTAAGTCTGTCAACTAGTGGGTGTGTGGTCTTGTAACTCAGCAGGTACTCAGGATAGATCTGGTGCTTCTCAAAGACAACAAAAATGGAAGGATTTGCGATGTCGTTGACACAGCTGTCGTAGAAGTTTATGTCTCCACCGTCTTTGGACGGAGGTCGGACGTAGCTGGAGTCCCCTCTTGTGTAGCTCCCCACCAGGACTCGAGACACAAACATGGTTTTGACATCAGAGTCACCAGTGTAGCTGTGGGAGTATTTAGCGTCCCGAGCAAAGTAGCTTCCTGTGATTGGAAGCAAAAAGATAAGTGAGAAGAGAATATATTTTAATGGCATCTTCTCTGGTCAGACAGTATCACGTCAACCTTCCACTAATATAAAAATTCCCAGACACTCTAAAATGTCATGTGTAAAATTTTTTTAGGGCACTGTAGATGCCCTGAACCATCATCTTTAACCCACCTTTGCCATAAGCTGTTCCATTAACTCCACAGATCCTCCAGTCAAAGTTGTTGAGACAAATGGCGTCGATGTGTTTCGAGTCAGTCCCATGAAAAAGTTGCTTTTCTTCCACCTCACGTCCTCTGTTGTTGTTCTTCATCTGAGTCTTTTGCCTTTAGGTAGAAATGTTGCAAAGGAATGTCCTTTAAAAACATGTTTACAGATCTAACATACTAAGCTAATGTTGCCGAGCTTCACCTCAAAGCTAAATGTTGATATAATGTAGTTACTAGAGGATAAGTATTAAAAGGTTCCTTTAAAAAAAAACAAAAAAAAAACATCAGTACAAAACCACCCCAGTTTTTAACTTGGTCCATAGCATACATACCACTGAAAGACTTCCCAGAGCGCCTTGTTCTGAATCCTCTCTATCTTGATAATATCGAAGCCTCTCAAGGTTGTTCGAAAAAGTGCTTCAAGCTTTTGAAATTCATCCGAAGTGAGCGGGACGGCAACTCTCTACAATACACAGAAGCAGGAAAGTTCACAGTGGCAGTCACCAGGACAAGTTCAAATCTTTGGATGAAGTAGATATATTAGCCAACTTTAAGTCAATATGATTAACATAGAAGGTGTACAGAGGTCAGAGCAGAAATAGGATCGTCTAAAGCCACAAATGCAAAAAGCAAATCAAGACGAAACAGAATTTAAAAACTATGTGGAATCTCCTTCTAGCAAAGGAAAAAAGTCTTTTAACAGTATTTGCATAGTATTGTAAAAGTGTGAACCGTCATGTACTTCCACATCTAGGTAACATTTTCTTTTTTGCAAAATTTTGACTTCAGTCTACTTTGTTTAAAACTCCTGCCACAATTTATCTTCTTACCATGCGTGTTAGCACATGGAACATATATTGTGCAAGTTCAAACTTAAGAAAATCAAGTGGACTTTTAGGAACAAAGTCTGGTCATACCTTTCACGTACATCAGAAAGTTCTGAAGTTCTTAATATGAGAAGTGCATGTATATTCAGATCAAGGGTGTGAAACAGTGTTCAACAGAGTCAGGACTGAGTTTGCTTCTGCTTTGGCCTTCTGGAAATTCAATTTTAATATCCTTTGAGTGCCAAGTTGTTTTAAATAAATATTAACCAAACGAATCAAAGTAGTCATGCTGTCATTTTCAAGCATCCAGGATCTTGAGTTCAGAGAACCTTCATCAGTGCAGACTACGTTTGCATAGTGCTGCATGAGATCAAAGAATATTATTGTGGTAAAAAGTACTGCACACACATAATGTGAAAACATTGTAATTCACACACTTGACAACCTGACCATTCCTTATTGAGGCCACAAACACACCATTTTACTGTAGGCAAATGGAGATACCAAATGTGGAATCCCTATTCTGATAGGATGCTGGATAAAGATTTATATTACAGAAAACAAAAACAAGTCACAAATATGACACAAATCTATTTTATTTACCAAAACAACAGTCTAGCTTTGTAAGATATACAGCAAAAACATAAAATGACACTGTCACACCTCTTTTATAGATGCAAGTTTATAAAAAGAAAAGCATTTTGTTTGCTTTGACGTTTTCTGTGTCAAAATAGTAAATGTATATATAATTTGATACAGAACAAAAGAAAAAGCACAGATACATTTTATGCTAAGTTGTGCTGCATTCAATGCATTTCTGAAATCTTCTGTAATCCCAGTCATCACTTCAACTTTATATCGACTCATATCTCTGTTCTGTTTGCACTGGCCATCAAATCCATCGTTGCACTGGAGTCACAAAGCAAATAGCACTAATGATATGGAGATGGTGCAGGTTTCTATCTCTATGGCTTTAGTTGCTTCTTATTAGCCTTTTTTTTTTTTTAGGAACAAAACAGCTGTGAACAGTGGAAAGAATTGTTTTTATTTTTGCTCATACAGTCAATGTAAAATGCTTTGGCTAAAGTAAAAGTAAACAATTAAACCGATAGTTTGTTTAAAGTACAGAATGAAAGTAGCAATGGATGACGCTCACAGTGAGCTCTAGGTCCAGATAAAGAAAAACCTAACAAGTTCCTAAAACCAGTAGGAACATCTCACCGCATAGACTAATACAATCAGACTAGTGTTCCTAAACAAAGTAATGCGCTTTCATGCACACAGATAGCAGATTCTAAATAAAATCATAACAAACGGTCCCTTCAACTAAGTCCCACTACATTGCCAATGCATATTGTAAAAACATAAGAGTTGTGTTTCAAATCACAAACAAGATTATATGAAAAATGTACTTCATTTATTTGTAGATTTCAGAACATCAGACTATTTACACAGCAAAAACCTTCTCAGATATTCCTGCCCTCTTCAGGAATGTGTCACAGTTGCTTCATGTCCTGCATCACAACTACCACTGTTGTGTATTTGATATTCAATGTGAACTCTGTGTCTCAAAAAGCGCTACCGTTGGAGAATCTGATGCCTTCTTCACCAACGTTCCTTGTTACTTTCATCCTCTTATGCTCAATTCTGGTGTTGCTAAAGAGTGTTGGTAACATTAGAAGAAATTTGGATGGATGCACAAAATTCTCATTTACCAGTTCTGAATCACTTACACGATTATTGCATTAAATTGAATCATGAATTGCAAGTAAAATATGTCAAATATTTCACAATAATCTTATTATTTTTTTTACTAGAAATTCCAATGCGTTTTGTGTAATCAGACCATCTACAACACACCTTTCTGAAACTGGATCCAAACCACAGATGCTTCATTAAGAGAGCAGGAAATGATAGCCTGGCCTTCCTGCACAATTCTCATCTCCTGTCAGTATTCTGTCTGGGATTTCTCCCACTGAGCTGAATTTCTCTGGTAGAATTTGTACTGGACCAATCAGCGAGCAGAATGAGGATCTCTGAAAGATGACATAGATTTTCTGCACTGCTTCAGAAACGTATTCTGCCTGTAGTTTTAGTGATGGCAGCGGAGGAAGTGAACAAAGTTGTTCAGTCCGTGTTGCCCACATTTACAAATATTGAATTAACATTAACAGCCATCTTGTTTGGATTGGCACTTCTCTCTTCACAGTGGAGGATGACGGTTTACAGTGCAGGGAATTTCCAATTAGATTCATATCATTGAACTGGAGCATTACATATGTCATGGACAAACGTTAGCGGTGTCGTACAATTTAAAACCTCAACAGAGTCAACATCTCCAGGATGCAATTGTTTCTCAATAGCCACGACCTTCTGGACAAAGCAAAGTGTTGAACAAGGAGCTGGTTTTTATCAGGTTATGGAAATGGTAACAACTTGTAAAACAAAGTGGCTTAAATGTCACTAATGCCACCCAAGTTTTAGCTTAGATTATTGTGCTGATTTTGACTCTTACTTTTGAGAACCCTTATCTTAGTGAGGTAAGCTATTGTTATGACTGACTTTTTTAAAGACTCAAGGAAGATAATTTGGCCCTCTACACCACTGTACCTCAATCTTGAAAAAAGAAAACGTTCACCTAATCCCATTTCCCACAAGTCAGAGTGGAGAGGCAAGAAACCCAAACCCTGTGAGTTTATTATACCGAGAATCCTGTTGGAGGGATCTGCGTCTTGTCCCAGTGGTCTGGCACAGGAGAAGAGCTTCCTGCAGGCCTTCTGCAGGGATAGATGGTGAGGATGAGTTTCATGTTGACTTAGTTGAACCATTTTAAAACATGGAGAGCACATTCAGAACAAGAGGACTGATGAAGAACACTGCTTTTCCTCAACCTACCTCACTTTCTTGGTTCGGACATCAGCGGCAGAGACGAACAGAGGACGTCTGCTCACAAGCCTCTTAGTACCATAATGCCTATTTGTTTGAATCATGTCTGAAGGGAATAAAGGCATATTAATTGAGGTTGTATTTATTTGTTGTTTGAACCCATTTAAAATGTCAAAGTTTTGTGTTTTACCCTGGAAACTAAGAGAATAAGACTGGGAGCCAGCAGAGAACTCCACTTCGCTCTCATTGTCCAGAAACTTCTGCTCCAGAGTTTCACTTCTGATGTCTGATGATTTCCTTCCAGCGTTCTGCAACACAATGTTTGTGAGAATCATATTAGCCCTGATCTTCTCCACCAACATCGGCTTCATTTAATTCCATGATTACATAAAACTGGATTAATACAGACTAATGTAAAGATGGACTTTTCTAGCCAATTAGATCATTTGTTTTTTTAAGGCAGTTTATAGAGGTGTATACAAATAATTGTTTTAGATGTAATTTGTAAATTAATACAGGAAATGACTGATGTGCACCTATGTTTAAAAAGAAGGACATATTATCAGTTAAGTCAAAAATAGTGGCAAGGAATTCTATATGAGATTAATTCTGCTGATTACTCAAAAGGTTTGCAGTGACAGGAATCATGTACTTTGTGATTTTTTTTCCCTGTCCCTGAAAGCACCAGCACTGGCCATTTTTAGCCTGGATCACCTCAGCTGGCTCTACTTGCCGAGTCAACGTGTCACTGTGCGTATCGTCAATACGCACTCTGCTGACACATTGGCTTTTTCCTTGTTTATCTGCTGTTGGCCAAACCAGATATACGTGTAGGAAGTGCTGTTCATGTTTTTATGACGTGGCATTGCTGAGGGCAGAGACTATAAACTTTGATTAGGTCATGTGTCCTCAACATGAACATAAGTTCTCGGACATTAGGACTGATCTGCAGTATTCCTGGGGCTCACAGTTAAATCAGCTACATTTAACATTTTTTTGGTGTTATTGATTTCATTTAGTGAGTTCAGGAGTTTGACCAACATTAAAAAACAATGACTCTAGTTGCTTGTTGTCCCCCAAGTCTTGTGACTGATTCAGATGCAAACCTTAGCCTTGACTGCTTCTAGTTTGTTTGCTCTTCAAGCAACTCTCCCAAACAAACCATATCTATTCAATATTTTTAAAACTTACCATCATGAACTTTAACATTTAAGATGCTAACTCAGGCAGATATATGGGTTCTTGCAGTTTCTCAGGGATCCTCCAAGCTCTGAGCTTTGGGTTGGATGAGAGGTAAAATGTTTTCCTACTTGTGAACAATTTATGCTGACTGAGAACAATGAATTATGATTTGTAATAATACTTCCTATATTGTTGCGTGGCAACATTTGCTTCTGTATGGTTACTGCTGTTATGTTGCCACCCCAGTGTTGTGTTAACCCACCTACATCCTCCAGACCAGCAAACTGCCAAGACCTTTACTTTTGCATTTGGCGGATGCTTTTCCTTTTTTGAAAGTAGCTATGCGTTTTTTATGACTGAACTGACAAGCATGGATACTTTCAAAACTAACTTTTCTCAATTCTAATTTTGAGCACAAAATGTGTTTAGATGTTACACTAGGACTTCATGTACTCACATCTGAACCGTACAGGTTCCACTTTCCAAACTCGTCCTGCCAGTACCAGAGCCACTCTGTGGTGTGAATGAAGGTCGGCTCAACCAAAGAGTTCACCGTAGTGAGCCGCCGCACTTTGTTCCCTCCTCGAGTCATGGTGTCAAAATGAACAGGCGGACTGCCGCTGCTGCAAACACAAAGCAATGCTTTAGTGAATTTAGAGGAAATGCACACATTTTATATTAGTTTTATATTTTGAGCGCATTTGTCCATATTTATTTTAAATGCTGCAATCCTTTTCCAAATAATAGTTGTGCAAAACATAATATTTCACATACCATGCTAAATTGTAGTTATGCTAAAGCATAACTACAATTTTAGCATAACTAATGGTTCAGCATAAATTCCATTTTAGCATGCCTTTTGGTTTAGCATAACTATTAATTTAGCATGAATTCCTTTTTAGCATAGCTTCTGCTGTGGTTTTTGTTGTCAAATTGTGGCTTTTGCATTTTGTTGATCCTTTTGGGCCACCATAAATACATAAATAAATAACTGACAACAACAATAATAACTACTCAATGACTGACCCTGGCCTTAGAATTCAATATGGCTGCCCACCAGGGCTATGTAATTTTTCTACCATGTTTGGACGGAGAAAGTTTTATTTTTAGTTAATAAAGTCACAGAAATGGATAGTAACATTTTCCCACACAAAGAAAAATGTTCCAAATTGGACAATAAAGTATCTAACCTCTTATTAAAAAAGAGAGTGAATGCTGTTTTATATGCAGCTCTGATGTTATTTTGAAATTGCTGGCTTGCGGGGATGGTACAACTTGGGAGAACCAGGAATCCCCAAACTGTGTATTAAATAATGTTTAATCACTGCAGATAATTCCAGCACTGATGTTACTAGTTTATACCTTGCTTGTTTTAGAAAAATGTATTTTTTGAGTGTTTTCATAAAAAGATCATAAAATAATGAAGAAAATGTAGGTGTTTTTAGACTTCATCAATAGAATAAAGTTCAGATTCTTTGAACAGAAACATTTTCTTTTTGGAGTCAAGCAAACAAGAAGCTCCATAGATAACTTTAAAAACGTTAGCAGCTAGCTGTTTACCAGTTTTTTCCACTCTACCAAGGAATCAAAATATTGTCATAGCAATGATTTATGGAAGGCAAAGGCTTCTTAAATGCTTTAGTAACTTGTAACATGTAGTCAATCCAATAAAAGAACTTTGCTAGGCGATTATCAAAACAACAGGTCAACTGGAGAGCTTCTTTGTCTCTTACTGCTAAATAATAGTCTCAAACAGGATGTGAAGCTGAAACCACTAAAACTATGATTTGGGGCTCATAGCATCAGCTTAAATTTAATTCACCAAGAGAAGTCACATGCTGACACAGACTTCACTTTATCGAGAAATATCACGGCATTGTCATATTGTAAGATATAGTTACAGACTTAAAAACGATGATTTGTCAAGAAACTTGCATGAAACCAAATAAAAACAGCAATTTTTTTCCTTTCTGCAACAGCTGAGAAGGTGGTTTATGCCCGATAGAGCAGAATACCTGTACGTGTTGCTGGGATCGCAGTATTCCTTTTCAATTGCCTCGTTATCAGGCAAGGCGTTCCACTGGCCTCCTTCCTGGACCTGCCATCTGTACGGCATCTTGTCGTGAGCTTTAAAACATTTGTCTGAAAAAAACAACCATGAATGAGAACATCTGAGGCAAAACAAGGACAGGAAGCAGGTACCATGTGGAATGATGGGCAGTAACTTACCATCATGCTTGCAGTAGCCTTTAATGAAGTACATGCATATCTCAGTTTTATCTAGTAAAAATAAAATAAAAAACTAAATTAACTTCGGCCTAGCTCTTTGAGACATTATTTTTCCCTATTCTATGGTTTGTGTATTTACCTTTGACAGGTTTGTTTTTTTGTCTGCCTTTCTGGTCATCTGCTCCATTTCCCTCTTGGCCACCAGCTGCACCAATCATTTCATCGACGGCAGACGTTCTTCGGAGCCCTGGTTGGTTGCCGCCTCTCCCTTTATTCGCTGAAGTCCGATTGCGACTTCGACTGCGCTTTTTCCTCATATTGCTGCTCGCCTCGGAGTCGTCAGCGGCGGCAGAGACGTCACTGTTTGACGAATTAAAACTTGGCGGGGGACTCTTGCTTTGGCTGCACAGGTTCAAGCCACTGAACTCACCCCAGATGTCACCAAAGGAAGTGCTTCGTAGCTGCGTGATGTCGTTACCTGCATTTCCGCGGCCCCCTCTGCTTCCCCTGGTTCCTCTGAACCCCCTGTAGATGGTTCTCCCTCTCCCTCTCCCTCGGTTCCACTGCCTCTGCTCTGTACTCAAACCACAGTCACTTCTTGAATCGAAATCGCAGCCAGCACCAGAGACGTCACTGCTAGATGACCAGAAATCTCCTTGCTCACTCTTGGTTTCAAAACATCCTTGTCCAGTGACCGTAGCCCACCAATCAAGGTCTCCCACGAGGTCACTATGGGTGGCTGTTTCTTGCTGTCTGGAGTTTCCTCTGTTCCCCCTGCTGCCCCTCATACCTCTACCTCTGGGCCCCCGGTTGCCCCTATTTCCACCTCTCCCTCTGTTGCCCGGCCTGCGACCTGAATTTGGCCCATGGTTGGAGCCGTCGTTGCCCCTGTGACCCCTACCAGCTCCGCCTCTGTCATAGTACCTCAACGCTTCTCGATTTGCGTAAACGGACTTCAATGAGCGGAGCATGTCGTCGGGCACCATCTTATCGTGCAGGACCTTCTTTGGCTGAAAAGCAGTAAAGTCGTGGGCTCTGGAGCAGCTGCAGCTTTGGGTCAGGTACTTCTGGCAGATGTGGAGTCTTTCACAATCTACGCCGCTCGTACACCGGCCAAATACTCCATCACCGTTATTGTAATCATGACATATCTGGGGGAAAACAGAAGAAAACGGTCAAATACGGTGCGATCGAGTGTAATCGTTGTTGTTTCTGATGTGAAACTTCAAGAGGTGAGAATGTAAAAACGTTGGTGGACTTACAGCAGGCAGCATGGAGTTGTCGCTCTGCAGCAGCAGCGTACACAGCTCCGCCCTGCTCAGGCCCTCCAGCTCATGTTCTATCAGCAGCCTTTGGTTGTAGTCAGAGTTCAAAACGTGGGGGAAACTGCAGCCTTTTCTGTTGGGGAAGAATACATAAAGATTCATGACCAATTTAAAAAGACGTGTTTATCAATTTTAAAGCAATTTTTGTACACGCTGCATGACTCCCAGTAAGGATGCACTGTTACAAACATTTTGGCCAATAACTTTAACCAATATTAATATTACTGTAATGGCTGATAACCAATATTGTTTAGGTTCTATAAATGTCTCTAACCTCATGGTAACACAAAAAGTGACCACGACACTTTTTGTGCTTCAGTTAAAAACTCCACATTCCTACGTTTTGGGGTGAAATGGTTCCTCAAATAACTCTGGTACCTCGATTACTAAAAATTCTCGAGGCAAATTATCTGTCTGACAAGTTGAAGATATGTCAACTGGAAATGTAGGATTGTCTGGTACTGTTCTGAACTGGTTCACGTCCTTTTTGACAAACCGGAAGCATTTTGTTTATGTTCATAATCCTAAAGCTGAGTAAAGAAATATCACTTATGGGGTTCCTCAAGGCTCTATTAACGGGCCTCTTTCATTCAACATCTGTCAAACCAATCTGAGATGATGGGATTTATAAATACCTAAATTAAATCACACCTATGTACAACAGTTGCGTTATGTCAGCATTGTCATAATATCTATTATGCCTAAGCATGCCATTTAATATTTCTTTCCATTTATGTTGAATACTAATAAACTCGCCTTTCCTTGTTAGACACAGGTTGTTGGGATATTACTTAACATAAATTGTCTATTGGTTAATGTATTTATTTTATTTCATCTGTGCTCAAATTACTGATACTGTATCTGCATTTCTTGTTATGGGTTTGCTTTTTCACAACACACAGCACTTTAGAGAAGCAAGGAACTTCTTCATACATCTTGAAGGAGGAACTGAATTATTATTCCACATTATTTTCTGCTCTTGCTTTTGAAGGGGAAAAAAATACTACTTTAAACAATGACATACTTGAATTTTGACTGAATAAAAAAAAACTAAAAGAAGGTAAACTATAAAAGAACATATTGTGAAATTTGTGTGGTGATTGTATTAAAACCCATGCAAAATTGTTGACATTAACATTTATGTTTTGGGTCATAACTTTACACATGTTTAATGTAAACTAAAGTCACTTTTACCTTTTAGAATTGTGGGTTTTACGATGCAACTGATTTCTTAATTTTTTGACTTGCATGTTTAAAAGTTGTTTTCCTGAATTAGTTTGTTTATTAATTTTACCAACACACCTCATTTTAATTTTGAATAGGCTTTAGTTAATTGTGGCAACTGTTTATGGGCAGTGATGTCACTGGTGATGAATAAATTTTGCTAGTAAGATAAAATGCCAGAATAAGAAAAATCCGATCAACTTCAATTTTTTGTGCCGTTAAGTTCATATTTTCAATAAATAAAGGAAATTCAAAATGTCAAGCTCATTTATATTTTTGATTATATAAATGGTGTTACACTATATAAAAAAAGATAAGATAAAATGATTACTTGTTTTTCCCTTACTGGTTTGATTAGATCCAAAACACGCCTCGACTTTAACGATACTTCTTTGTCACAGTAGGAGCAGGTAAAGCTAGCTTCGACTGTAGAAAAATAAAACACTTGCGCAAGACGTCACTGTTAACTTTGAGAAAGAAATCACAGTCAAACACGTCATTTCAAAACTCTACTTGAATTATAAGGTCATAATGCAATTTTCTGATGTTTTTCCGTTTACTCGTTAGTCTTTTACCACATCTTATCTTTTACCCCAACACTTGAACGCACCGCGGTTGATAAGGCCTTTGACCAGGCAAACTAATAACTCGGACAACGCCGTTTAGTTAGCTTTGACAGCTCTAGTTTTAACTGAATAAGTAAAGACGTGACAACCATCTCGTTTCCCTTTAAAGCAACCCGAACGTCACCAAGTTATTTACCTTTGTAGGAAGTGACAGGAGCCGGAGAAGAGGAAGTTTTTACACATGTGTAGCCCCTCGCACGTCCCCGGACAGCCTTTCTTCCTGCACAGTCTCAGGCTGGTCCTGGCCACCACTCTCTGTTGCCCATTGCTGGAACACAAGGCAAACTTGCTTTGGTTGGAAATCACCTCAGTCGTGGACTCCCCTGGGAAAAGGTTGTACATCAACTCTTCGGCATCAGCTGCTCCTTGATTAGCGCAGATGAACTTTAATATTTCAGCCTCCATGGCTCCTTCAGGAGCGCTTCCGCCCTGAAGGCAAGAGGCGACAGCAGCTGTGGTCGAGAAGCCGCTCGGTCCAAGAGGAGAAGGAAATGGTCGGTGTCGTTTCTGCTGATTGGAAACCGAAACTTAACTCTTTTTTTAAGGTAGTACTGCAGTTTGCCACTTGAGGGCGTCATTGTGTAGCATTTTCACAACCTTTCAAGGCCCTTTTGTTTCAAGAGTTTTCCTGTGCTTTAAAAGTAAACTGTGGAGTCGGAAGAGTTAAAGACGACGAAATGTCCTTCGTCTTTAGCCTTAAAAGAAACATTTCCTACCAGAATCTCCTATTTTCCAATCTCCCTCAGTGCCAGATAATACTGACCTCATTCCATCCTAAATACATCCAGCTGTGCTTTTGAATTGAATTTTGCTTAGATTTTTCCTGTTCTTTTTTTTTCTTTTTTTTTTGTAATGATAAAACTCATGGATCTAGTGAGAGTTTCATTTTTAAAGAAGCTTTCTATTGTTTCTGTGCACAAAATTGAGTTCCTGAACTGAAATATGTTTGTTTTAAGAAACTAGTGATAACTTTTATTGAGACTTCACAGTTTTCTTCAAATAGGGTCATTTCGACTCTATTTTAAATGTTGTGAACCATTATTCACAGTGGATTTTGTTGTGTTAAAACCACAAATGTCAATGTACTTTCTGGGATTCATGTTTTTTGGTTTTGTTTTGTTGTTTATTTACACAAACAGTGTTATGTATATTGAGATTTTTTATACTGATATGTTCAAATAAAACCCAGTGCAACAGAACGTACTTTATAAGTAAATACTATGGAAGCATTTAACTGCCAGAGTTAGGAAATAAAAACAGGAAGGGTATCTTAAAACAAGAAACCTTCTAATTCAGACGAGATATAAAACACATAATAACAAGAAATGTTGTTTTAAAAAAGATTTTTGTCTCACTAAACCAAAACATGTGAGAAACATCTTAACAGTAAAATGGAAACACTGTGGGATGTTGTTTTGAGTGGGATGGAGAGTCAGAGGAAAGTTTTTTCAGCCTTAAGAAGTCATTTTCTGTCACAGAAACATATTTTCATATCTTGTTAAAACCACTGTAAAACAAACAGAAATATCCAGACCTTGGAATGGTTAGTAGTCTGCCATTTAATGATGCAGCACAAGCCAAGTAGTGAGTAAACGTTGTTTACTGGTTCTCCTTTTGGACTTTTGTAAATAATTTGTAAAAAGTGTCGTACCTCGTACAACCTGTTTGATGTGTTAGGTTTCTCCAACATAGTGTAAGTGACGTTTGAAAAAATATTTATGAATATTTTCGTGTGGTTGTTGCTCTTTGAACTGCTGGACTGCATCATGCTGTTATCACCATAAAGAACATTTATTGCATTTAAAATACAACTGTAAAAAAATTAAAAATGGACAGGTTAAATTCAATACAAAGACCTGCCCTGATGTATTGTGGGGGAAAAAATTCACAGTGGCGACACCCAATGGAGATGATGGAGTACAGCAGTCCATTCGTTTATTTATATGTTCATCCTTTATCTCACCCCTTTTTAATATCAATGATGTCTGACAACAACATCATAAAATTCTTCATTTTTATGGTGACAGTGGCTCTGTGGGTAGAGTAGTCATCTTGTGATGGGAAGGTTGTAGGTTTGATTCCAGCTTCCTCCTGCCACATTTCAGGCACTTAACCCCCAAATCTACCGATATGAATATCAGTGTGTGCGAATGGGTTAACGTGACTCTGTAAAGTGCTTTGAGTGGTCAAAATGATTGGAAAAGCTTTTTGAAAGTTCAGTCCATTCACCAAATATAATGTGCGTTTCTGATTTGAAGTTGTTCCTCCATACTGTCAGAGGGACAGCAAGTTACATCAATGAAGTGTTCTTCCCTTTACATTGCTTGTTAGGTGTGAAACTGACCAGCCAGAAAAAAAAAAGTTTTTGCACATTTTTCAGTGGCACACAAGTCCAAAAGGTTATTAGTGAAAACCTGCAAATTTGTGGAATTTTTTCATAGAGATTACATCAAATATTCAAAATAAATTGCAACTTGGGAAAGTGCCAAGTCGTAACCCTACTTACCACACTATTGGTTGGTGTTTGCAGAGCAATCGATCCAGGAGCAGCTTTTATTTTGGTATCTTCAGGATCAAACATAAGACAGTGTCCCCTTCTGCGGTAGAGTAAAGATGGTTTCCATTGTGCGGAGCTAGGTCCACCCAGGCGTTTTGCACAGCTAAATGGTTGCCATGGAGATTTAAGGATTTCTCAAACATGCATGAAAGAATCAAGGCAACACTCCAGGTATGACTTTGATGAGGGAATAACATTATAGCATATCAAAGTTAGCTACATGTAAGTGCTTTTAGAGGAGGATCTCAAGTATTCGTAGTATTTAGCTGTTTGTCAGGGCCTGTGAGTACCGTGGGTCTACTATAATGCTAAAAACTATCTTTACATCAT